GTGAAAGTGGCACGTACTGTAAAAGCACTTTGAGTGGTCGGAAGACTAGAAAGGCGCTATACAAGTAAAGGTCCATTTATCAAAGTCCAATATTCACCCTTCTTTTATCTTTTAGCTTTGTTATAATCAAAGATCAAATTTTAATTAACTGACTCCAGAGGAAAATGTTTAGCTTGCTCGTACATTTAGCTGCTTCATTCACAATGTTCACTCAATGTTCACCACCAGGCTAACCACCAAGTCTATGTGTACAGGGGATTTTTCATAGCCTTCCTATCTGTGCTGGACAGAGGTCGATTAGGGCTGAGGGTGAGACGTTTGTCACTCTGTGCGACCCCTTTTACTTCATTTGATCTATTGTTTATATAAAAATAATTAGATAGTGTAGCTTTAAAGGGTCACAAGTCATATTAATTAACTCAATCCATACGTTTAAGAAATTGATTTCTTGCTTTCTTCCAAATGTCATTTAACCTTTGACACACAGGAAGGTAAACTATCCCCCAATAATATTAGCTCTGACCTGAGGCTTGCTCAGTGACTTTAGAACAGCTAAAGGGTTTAGGCACAATGCTCAGAATCAAACTTTTAACCATTAACTTTATGCACGGTGCAAAATGCAGCAAACTGTGTTGTGTATCCATAGTATCCTCAGTAAAGTAGACCGTTCCTTTGGCCAGGTTACTTTAAAATCAATTAATGGCCTTTTCCAGAACCCTGGACAGCAGCAAATAGACACAACATGCGTGTGTGCTTGATCTGGACTACTGATTTGTAAAAGCTAAAGAACAGTCTAAGAACTTACCAGCAGCTCCTTGTACTTTGGCCTTTTTGATTCATCCTTTGTAAGGCTGGACAGAAAAGGACAAAAAAAATCCATCAGCATAAGTGTAGGTAATTAGTGGCAGACCATCATGATTACTGGACACTTAGGACCCACTGAAAACCTCCATTTTTATGGTGTCTCAAAAGTTAAGCTAAATGCTTTTTTTTTTTTATCTACTGAATTCGTGTCAAAGTGGTAAAAGGTACAAAGCAGCACAGTAAACACTACTGAGTGAAGCTGATGTATAGCTTGCTTATAGCACACTGAGGTATCTCAATTCCAATGAACACAAACTGGTTCGTGTGTAAAATAAAAGTCCTTATTTATGAAAAAGAGAAAAGTCCTTGAACATTCCTTATGTCACCAAACTAACCAACACATAAATCAAAGAACACAGCTGTGCTATTACTGCACTCTTGCTTTTAGTCAGGAGGTATTTCAAAAAGGTTCTCACATTTGTAAACCATTAAAATCTCAACTCAATGTCCACTTACTATGTTTTTTATAGCTTTAAATCACTTTTCAAGGTCTTCATCTGCGAATGGAGTTTGCTCATTTGTCAGGAGAGGACCATTCTATACTCAGACCTCCTGAAGACAAATGAGCAGACTCCATCCACTGGAGATGTGGTTGAAAGCTCTTGAAAAAGCTGGTAAGTGGATGTTTAGTTGAGTTTAGTTAAGGACAACGAAACAATTTCACGCTCAAATAGTTTTAAGCTGTTTTCAATAATAAGCCTATAGTACTCTACAGACTGTATGAGTGAATGTAATGCTGCTTACCAGAGGTTAACAAAGTTGATGAACTTGGGGGAGAACTGCCTCTCCTCTGAGTTGCTGAGCTGGGGGGGCTCACCCTTCACCACTTGTGTCAGCTGATCGAAAACACTATTCCACTTGGGGTAAGGGAACCGTCCTGTGGCCAGCTCATACTGGAAGCAAACACACAACGTAGACGGACTTACTGCAACCGTCCATTCACATTTGCTCAGACGTAACAAAGGGAAGATTTCAGGTTAAAACTGACGACACTATTTATCTTACCAGGGTGATCCCCAAACTCCACACATCAGAGCGGACATCGTAGCCTTGTCTGGAAGCACTGGGGTCTATCCTTTCAGGCTGAAACACACACAGGAAAAGACTGAGAAACCTCATTCAACCCAAGGACATTTTTATTGTTTCCTCCTTCCATGGGGAGGTCAAAGGTCAGGCTCAGAGACAGAGACTTGAGATGACACAGACAGTACTGTAAACAGACTTCTATTCATTTGTGTTCAGTCCTGTGTGAGTCTGGAGCTGCTCTCTTTAAATGGAAGATAATGTAAGGTTCATCACAGAGGGAGCGTTTACTTTTGAAATTAGGATTCTTATAATTGATATTTACTCTAGGGATTCATAATAATTATTGGGACAGATCAATTATCGGCCAATAATGGGAAATTTATATTATAAATGATCAGGATAATGAAATTACAGTTGATATTAATAATCATTTATTTGGAAGCTTTATGTTGTTGTTAACAATAGTGATGTCAGCCTTTCTTACCATTAAGTGTGTAAATACTACAGGTTTTGAACTCATTTTTAAAATACAAAAATGTGAAATTATCAGTTATCTTTTGGTCTAAACAAAAAAATCCCTATCATGCGTCCCTTACATACTCTTTTCTTTTTCTCTTCCCACCATAATCTAGCTGTAAAATCTGATAACCTGTGATCAATGACCTGTCTGGTTTCTACTCCTGCTGCATTTTATGTAACACACTGCAAAATATGTTGTACAGACGGGTGAAAACCCTCATAAAGGAGCAGAGGAACATAAATGCAGATGCTTCCTTACAGGCAGACTGCATGATACAATTACACAATTAACATCCTCTGCTACTGCCTTCACAGTCATTAGACGTCAGCTGATTAACGCTGCTCTCCACCCAAGAGGGAACATGTATACAAGAACAAGGAGCACTGAAGCTTAACGTTGTGCCGCCTCGATTTTCATTAAAACTCGGTGGATGGGTGTCACATTGGCCAAGGACGGTGCACAAATTATTTTTCACTTTCATTAACATTGCAAGATAGGTCAGTCATTTCAACACAGACATACTGTATATAGCGGTTGCACCTGCAGATTTGTCTTCTCACCAACATTTTTGTCAAGTTTGAGTCAGTAAATGTTTTAAAAAGTATTTTGTCCCAACTATCTGCATTTTTTGTTAAATAAATAAATAAATAAATAAATCCACATAGTCTCCATTATTCAGAAATTCTGAAATTTTTTTATTTCAAATTGCGTTATTAGTGATGAATGTTTACGTGTTATTATAAATATTATTTGAGATGGAGTATGGCTGTGTGTCACTGTTTGTGATTGCTTACCGCCATGTAAGGCCTGCAGCCTGCATCTCTGGTCTTGGCTATGGAGTCCACCAGCTGACCGCTAATGCCAAAATCACACAGCTTGATATTTCCCCTTCGGTCCATGAGAATGTTGGAAGGTTTGATGTCTGAAAAAAAGACCATTTTACATCCAGTAACAGTCAGACAACTGATCCAAGGTTTTGAATGCAAGCACCAATAGACTTTAAGAGGCAGTCTAAAAATATTCACCACCGTTTTATTTTGAAGGGACAAAGCTATCTTTAAATTCAGTTACGTGGCTTGTCTTCATTACTATAAATACTGGATCTACATTTTTATTCATGAAATTTTACATTTTAACAATACAAAGACTTACCTCGGTGAATTATTTTCAAGTTTTCTTTTAAGTGGTTCAGTGCTTTAACGGTCTGTTGGAGACAAAATAAAACACATCACTCATGTTACGATGACACACGGCATGGGATCAATATGTACAAAGAGAAAGTGAATCCTCTACTCACCGCTAATGTTATTTTGCCTAATATTTCCTCTGGAATGACGTCATCTAACGCACAATATACATATTTGTAGAATTTGTCTAATGAGGTAGACATAAGTTCCATACAAATCCAACAGTCCCCCTGAAACAGAGAGTGGACAGTAAGTTTCCTTCAAGTCTGGGTTCGATCTGATGATTCACTGATTATCAATGAAATATAAGATCCTATAGAACACATAAAAAATCAGTGGCTACTTAAATGCAGAGCATGATGTGGTGCGTTTGAGGTCTGGGAGTTATGGTCAGACCTCTCTGAAGAGAGCGCCGTAGAACTGAACGATGTAGGGACAGTCACTACTCCTCATCACCACGTCCAGATCCATCAGCAGCTGCTTCTGCTCCTTCTCATCCACAGTGGAGCGAATCCTCTGAGAGACACACAGCACAAACACATGTTCACACTTCTGCAGAGCCAGGCGGACCTATACGCTCACTACACAGGAGCCCTGCCTCCCCATAGTGTCAGACTCTGTGTCCATGTTTGCAACTTCGATGAGAGGATAAAGCTGAACTATTCGTCAAGAAAAGAAAAACACCATGAGGGTGAATTGTGGAAATCAGGTAAACTTGTGTTCTCACCTCTCTAAGTT